GTTTTCCCCAAGGCCCAGGGTTTGATCTCCAGCTTGGAAAAAAAAAAAAAAAAATCTTGGTTACAAACACTTTTATATGCTTATCGAAGTATACTGCTTAAGTAGTTTCCTGGAAACCAAATTCCTGGGTCCATGCGCATGAGCATTTAAAGTTTCACCAGTGTAATCATACTGCCCCCACCGTGGCTGGCTCGGTTTCCATTCCCGCTAGCCATGTTGCGGACTCTTGTTTGCTTACACACCTGGCAACACCAACAGCATCACAGTTTTTTAAATGTTTGTCAGCCTGGTGGGTCAAAAATGTCTCACTGTGGTTCTGATTTGCATTGCTTAAATTATAAGTGAGGCAGGGCATAGTTTCAATTGCTTATGGGATACTTGGTTTCCTATGAAGTTCCTATTTGTCATTCTTTGCTTGTCTTTGTCTGGAGTTCTTTGCCCTTTCCTGCCAAGTATACTTATATTCTGCAAATGTATGTTAAGTGCTCATTATGTGAGAAGCACCTAGAGGGACCCGAGGGCTTGGACAGTGAATAAGGACCACTGTCTTTGCCCCTGAGAAGCTTACAGTGAGCTGGGAGTCAAACATGAATCAGTTATCCAGATGGGCATGTGAACAAACTCAGGTAAAAGCCTCACTGGAAGCCCAAGTGCCTTCTAGAACAAGGGAGCGAGTAAGCAGGCTGGGCCAGGTGGGGAAAGACTCGCCTTCCCGGGATGCACAGGACGCAGAGTTGAGGAGGGCATCCCCGAAAGAAGGACCTGCCTTAGAAGGGAGCACGGGGCATTCCGTGAGCTAAGGCCCACAGAGAGAGCACAGAGACTTGCTTTTTATCCCTGAGCAACCAAAAGGCACAGGAGAAGTTTGAGTCCTGTGGTGACCTCATGTACATTGTAAAAAACTTGTTCTGTGTGAAATGAAAAGAAAGAGGGAGACCCTTGAGAAAGTCCCTGGACTAGTCCAGACAAGATCTGCTGGGAGTTTGACCCTAGCAGAAAAGCTGAAGAATAATAGATGAATTCAATCAATAAATACAGAGGAGGTTAAGTAAAATCTGATGATAGGTCAGACACAGGGGGAAAAGGAAGGAAATGGGCATCTAGGATGATTCCCAGGTTTCTGATTAGATGGAAGAAGGTTCCATTTACTGAGATAAGATGTTACAAGATGGGCTCAGTGTTAAAGGAGACATACAAGGGAAGCCATCAGGCAGGCGATTAGATGGCCAGATCTGGATCTAGAGGCAGGCCTGGGCTGGGAAATAAATCCAGAAGTCATTAGCGGAAGACTAATTGAAGTCACGGCAGATGAAACTGCTCATGGAAGGAACAGAGGGTCCACAGCAGGTCTGCACCTAGTCCTTAAGGAAGTGTAACATTTAGTGGCCACCAGAGAGAGAGAAAACTAAAAAGAAAAGAGATGGACAGGCTGAAAGATGGAGGGATCCACGCTGTGCGTGAGTCCCAGAAGCAAGCAGGACCAGTGCTACTCATCCGTCCAGGAAGAGGAGGCTGAAATGGGCATTGTATTCAGCAGTCTGGGGAATCTTAGTGACATTATTTTGACTTGGAGGAGAGGTTGTTGTGTCTTCATGTACTGGAGACTGGGGGTCGAGCCCAGTCTCTTCACTTCAGTCCATTTGTTAATTGTTTTTATTTCAAAAACATTGTCTTGCTAAGTCACTAAGTTATCTAGGTTAAGTTTGAATTTGCCATCCTCCTGCTTCAGCCTCCCAGCATCCCCTGCTTTGTTTGAATTCCTTTAATGGTATGATGGGGCATAAATCAGATTGGAGATGGCAGAATTAAGGGGAACTAAGGATGGTCACTATCTGGACCACTCTCAAGAAATATGGTTCTTAACTTTTTTTTTTTTTTTTAAAGTAAACCCAACCCCAAGACTGTTCTTCCCAACTTGATTCTTTTTTTTTTTTTTTT